AAGAAGGTGTGACTGGGATATGAATTTGCATTTGATTAAAAAAAAAAAAACTTTGAGGACCACTTTAATAATAATAATAATTTGTATTTATATAGCTCCTTTCCAACATTATTATTCTGATTATGCTGTGGTACTTTTACAATATATTTTGTCCTTTTTGGATTTTGCCTATGACAGCCATGGTCTCTATGAAGTATGAACTATTTTTGTACAAAATAAAAAACGCAAGAAGATTCAAAAATTCTTCTTGTATGTTCCACTGAAAAATAACTACGGCTTTAGAACAATGTGAGGGTCAGAAAATAAAGACTGAACTGTTCCTGTAATTGAGAGGTGTTTGAGTGCTCTAGTGTTTGGTGACTCATTCCTGGGTAGATATATTACTTTCCCCCGGTTTCACAGACAAGGCTTGAGCTAGTCCCAGACTAAAATGCATGTTTGAGCCATCTCAACTGAAAATATCTTGCTCTGACATATCTTAAAATATGTCAGTGTCATTGTTCTGTGATGCACACCTGTAATGTTTTCTTCTATGGCATTTTTGTAAAAGTTGCTTAAATGTCTTAATTTAACTAAGGCCTAGTCCTGGCTTAAGCTAAGCCCCGTTTGTGAAACCGGGCCTTTATGTCTTGCAGAAGTGCCACAGGAGAGTCGTGGCAGGAGATCATGCTCTCGTGTCTCGAGGGAAAGGAGTGTGAACGGGACCCTTCAATACCACCACCTTTCACCTCTCCAGATCACGAAGGGGGCTGTGGCACGGACTTTGCCTATTTCTATTTTGTCTCATTCATCTTTTTCAGCTCATTTTTGGTCAGAATCTATCAACATTCTTTTCTGAATCTATAGGGGAGAATGGGGTAGACTGCATAGCTTTTTACTCAAGTTCAGTGTGAATACTCAGTGCAGGGAAATAATAGGGATAAAACATATACAACCAGTTATATTTTGAGATGTCTGCTGTCAGCTGAAATAAGAAGAAAGCAATTCATCATAAAAGCCAACAATATTCATTGTAAATAATGCCAAGTTTAAAGCATAAGCTAGATTAACACAAAAGCTAAACAGGTACAAGTTTTCTGCAGGTCTTAAAAAGGCCATTTGATGTTCCACAAATTAAGATCTTAAAAGGTCTTAAACCAGAGCAGAAAGTCTTAAATTCATAAAGTCATGGCATTAAATGTTACATAAATGTTTTTTCCTTCTTCCTTCTTCGGGGTGATCAGAAGTTACAGTAAAAGTTATTTCCATATTCTAGTGGTTGAGAGCATTAGGCTTTTTTTGTGTGAAATTAATTAAAATGTAATGGTTAGAAGTTAACGCTAATACAGTTGTGTTGCTTAAATTGTCTTTACTTGGTTTTAAAAATGTCTTTAATTCTCTTAAATTTACCTGCAGAAGCCATGCAATAGTGCCTTTGTTTATGCGTGTGGATATTAAGTGTTTGCGGAAAATGTTTCTCATGTGCATCTCTCGATTACAGATCAGTCCTTTCTAAATATATGTATAAATATAATATATGTCTAAATTCATTTACACAATGAAAACAATGCACATTTAGCCAGATTAACAGCTTACCCGCTGAAACATCTTAACCCACTCTCCCTTATACTTATTTAAGTTTAAATCATAGCCAAATAAAAACAATAATTATTTTAATAATATTACATAAATGAAATGTGTGCACTTGGTCTAAGTCCAGAATTTTGACACTTTATTTTTCCTAAGATGCTGAATCTGTTTGTGGCTGTGATTATGGACAACTTTGAGTATTTGACACGAGACTCATCCATTCTTGGACCTCACCATCTGGACGAGTTTGTGCGCATCTGGGGGGAATATGACCGAGCAGCATGGTAAGCGCAACAGATCACCTACTGTACCTATTATAATGCATATTATAATATAGTAATGATTGTTACTGTTCTTACTGTCATACGCATAGAGACACTTCACTAGGAACCGCTGCTCATTAACATCCATGTTTCCTTTCAATTTCATTTGCTTTATTCATTTATACAGATGCAACTTCATTCAGTAGTTTATATGTTAGTAGTACATTTAACAGTATTTACTGATATGGAAAGATCCTGGGCCTTCAACCTCCAAGTGCAAAGCCTGGGCAAGAAAACCTTTTTTTGATAGTCGACTTTAGGCATTTTACTAACTATAAGTAACTTTGCAACTAAATGTCTACTAACTCTCATTAGAGTATTAGTAGACTGTTAGGATAGGGTTAGTAGAGTAAGTTGACACGTATGTGCAAAGTGACAGTCAGAACAATGTGTGTTGGGGATCATCAAAATAAAGTGTTAGCAGAAATTAACAGACAGTCTACTAATACTCTAATGACTGCTAGTTGACATGGAGTTGCAAATAGTTAGAATGTAACACTTTAGATTAGGGAACACATATTCACTATTAATTAAGAGTTTGCCCTCAATAAACTCATAATTTGCTGCTTATTAATAGTTAGTAAGGTAGTTGTTAAGTTTAGATATGGTGTAGGATTAAGGGATTTAAAATATGGCCATGCAGAATAATGCATTAATATGTGCTTTATAAGTACTAATAAACAGCCAACATGCTTGTAATATGCATGCTAATAAGCAGCTAGTTAATAGTGAGAATTGGTGCTTAAAATAAAGTGTTACTAGAATGTCTAAAGTGGAGTATCAGGTAACACTTTCTATGAAGCCCGTATTTATAATACATTATAAGAGTATTCTTAAGACATTATAATGAATGCATAATGTATTATAAAAAAATAGTATATGTTGTATCATCTCATGAGTAATCATAACAACAGTTTTAATGCATTATACTATTTTCTTATTTGTGGTTGTAGCTTTTAAAATTATAATTTATAATACACAATGAACACAATACATCCACTTAACTCACAATGGATTATAATTACCATAGTTATAATGTATTATAAGTCTCATATCTTGCCATTGTTAACTTGTTACTTTACTTAAAGCAGATAAAGACCACTTATAAATAATAACAGCAACCACAATGACAATAACAACAACAACAACAATAATAATAATAATAATATTTTTTCTTAAAAAGCCATAAGATCAGATATCTGATCAGATGAATGTGTAATATGGCATATTAATATTTATTGTAATATTTAATACAAGTAATATTTAACTATATTTATTGCAATATCAGTAAGATATTGTATATACTGTAAGATACTGTACAGATCTTAAATAAAGAATCTCAAGATATGAAACTTATAATCCATTATAAATTAAGTGGATTTAACATGGTGTTTATTGCATGTTATAAATAATCATTCTCATAAAAGTTATAACCACAAATGAGTAAGTTTTATAATGTATTATAATTGTTGTTATGAGATGAAAAAACATATTAATTTTTTTTTTTTTTATAACGCATTATGCATTCATTATAATGCCTTAAGAATACCCTTATAATTTGTTATAGAAAGCGTTACCGAGTATCAAAATAAAGTGTTAGCAAAACTTTGGCCTGCATGAAACGGTCATAAAGGATGAAGCCTCAAGCAGAACCCATGGAGGAGTGGAACTATCATTATTTTTGGTAGATGTTCAACTTTTACGGCTGTTGTTGTGTTGTCCCTGATTGACAGACTACAGTGATGGCCTAATATTTTTTGTGCTTGAATCAAATTTAATAGTTGCTTGAACCAAAAAATGCACAGAACATTTGGCTACATTGCTCACCACTGCAGACACGGATGGATGTTTTCAGTTTTATGGTGGTGAAATTGCTGAAATCTTCTGACAGGGCCTTGGATTCCTGTGCGCTGCCAGAACAAAAACCGGCCTGGATTGGATTCAGGACTTGCTATGCGCTGTTCAATTAGACTGGCTTCAAACGACAATTAGTGCACATCAGAATGGCGATATTTAGAAAGTCTAAAATTCTTCTAGGCTATTGGAAGACGATCTTGCGGTTATCGTTGCATTCTCCAAGGCTGGAATTGAGATGGAATTTAGCGTAGTGTTTAGAAGTCAGTGGATGACTGTGAGCAAATAGGTGTCCCTTGTAAGTAAAGCTGAAGGCCACATCCTTCTGTTTACAGGCTTTCAAGGGAAGGATGATGTCATGTCAGATGAAAAGGCGCATTAAGGAAGACAGGGCCTCGATTGTTCAAAGAAAGGTGGGTTTGTACGTGCCTAGCCTAACATCCTTCTGTGTGGTGTTAGTATGTACAAAACAACGTGCACTCATTTTAGGGCAGCAACAATTTGTTTTCTTTTCTTATAATCAATTATTCTGTCGATAATTGATTTGATTAAATGGATAAATTATTATTGGAGGGGGGGGATACTATATTTTATTTTGCCTTAAGTTATCTTCCAAGTGCAAACTGGAGGCTATTAAACTATAAATCTATGAATTTAGACTATGCTTGTACATTATGTGCCAAAATGGAAGGTAAAATAAGGTCTCTGGTAAGAGGTAGAACATTATGCAGGAATATGCCACTGATCTCTATATGACTGGATTGCTGATGGAAATCTAAACTACCAGCATGATCAAATAACAAATGCGACACTCTTCACTCTCAATTCATTTAAGTACTTCAAGCGTTCTCAGGCTGATATATTGTGTAAATGTGAACACCCCAAATGATACTCAGACCACCCTAAACCACAAACCATTACTAATACTATATTGCAACATAAATGCATTAATCTGTATTGAGAATCAACACTTTCTGACATTTGCATTATGTATGTTGAGTAGCCTCGTCTGTCAGCTGATATGATATTTACTACTGTAATGAAGATAGTTTGAAAAATTCCTAGTCTAATTAAATAGCCAATTACATGTATAATACAGTTACAAGGAATTCAGATGATTTCCTTGTAACTGTAGTATGTGTGTGGACACCAATGTGGTAGTGTAGTGGCTTTAACGTTAGCTATTTATAGTCCTGTTTCCGTTATTGTTCTTGTAAAAACAAACAAACAATAGAATTTAAATTAAAGGTAAACAATTTTAAACCTAAATGTAACATTCAACAAAAAACATTTTACTAAATGTAAAAATTATTTAGCTGCCTTTCTCTGGTTGACTTAAAAAATCTCAAGTTAATTAGTTAATCAAGTCCTGAAGCTACAGGGAAAGTACTCTGAATAGGGTTTATTGTCAAGAGTGGCTTGGGTTCTATGGAGATTTTTGGTGAAAGGTTGTAATGCAGTGATAGGGTAGAAAAATGATTTATTGATTTTGACTGAGATTTTGGTATACTTACATATTTTGGATACATATTTTGTATAGTATTTTGTTTAATGTACAGCTATGTACAATGTATGATGTGCTTTGGTGAAAAGTTTTTTTTTTTAATGCTATTCATTTTTATTGTGTATACAAACATTAATGTTTCTGTAAACATACCTCTCATATTACATTTTCATAATTATCATATTAATTTCCATGAACTCGTTAAACTTCATATGTAGCATCAGGTGGGTTTTTTTCAGCAGGTGGAACTGAAGAACTTTTTGGCATCAAGAACACCAAGGATAAAGCCAAATTTAGACAGCCAGATATCAGCATGTAGTGCAAAAATAGCTTTTCTCCTAGCCAGTGGCCCAAACAACAAAGCAAAAACTTGAAACCGAGTAGTCAACTAGAGGTCTGTACGGAATCAATTTTTTTTTTTTTTTAACAAAAAACAATGACATATTTTGTCCTGCAACTTCCACATTTTGTCCCTCTCCTGCCCACAAAAGCCCAGAGGCAAAAAATCTATGCAGATTCAGTCTCTCTTACCAGAAATTATGTCTCCCTCCTGTGACAGAAGAATTTTTCCATTTCCCCTAGGCACACATCGCTTTACCTTGTTGCAGCAGGCAAATTAAAGGTGCTTTCCCTCGCTGCTGTGTACAATTGCTTAACATTGAGCATTTCCAGCCCTGTGCATGTAAACCATTCCTTTTCTTTTCTTTTCTTTTAAATGGAAACGTCTGCAGAGCTACTATCCAGCAGAGTTTAACTCCAACTTTTTCACACCTGAACCACCTCAGGATTAATTGAAAATTACAGGCAAGTGTGTTGGTGCAGGTTGAAACAGATCTCTGCAGGAAAGTAACTCTCCAGAAGAAGAGTTGGCACAGTTGTGCTGTTTTGTTCCTGAATGAATTAGTGTTTTTGAGCAAATCTGTTGAATGAATGACTCAATGACTTAATCATAAAGAGTCACTTTCATTCTGGAGAAATGAATAATCACCTTTTTGTAACTTGTTTTGAATTTAATTTTGTTTTATGTACATTCAGAAGTTTAGAGGAAACAATGTTTGTTCTGTACAGAGAAATAATGTTTTGACTGCATTTCTTTAGAAGTGTGGTATGCAAAAATAGCATTAATTCTTATCTATTCTCCATCATTCATATGAGAATCACAAATAATTGAATACCTCTGTTTTTTTTTTTTTTCCCTCCAGTGGCCGTATTCACTACACTGCCATGTATGAGATGCTAACCCACATGTCTCCACCTCTTGGATTGGGAAAGAAGTGTCCTGCCAAAATTGCCTACAAGGTAGAAAAGTTTTATCTTGGCAAATGTATTTCATTGTTTAATAGTTGCAACTGCTACTGAAATACCGAGAAAAATAATCATATGTAAGAATGCATATTTAAAAAATGTTAGAACCTATAATGCTTTTAAAACATGAGCGTTTTATATCATTAATATTTGCAACCATGCTGTGCTGCTATTGGCAGAGACTGGTGCTGATGAATATGCCAGTTGATGAGGACATGACGGTTCAGTTCACATCCACACTGATGTCTCTGATCCGCACTGCACTGGAGATAAAAATCGCTAGAGGTCAGAATTGTAAATCTGTACTTTAATAGAATAGTAGTACAATGATAATTATAGCATAATTTACTCAGACTCATACTGTTCCACACCTGTATGGGCATGTCTCAATCAGCTCTCAATCAGTATATTGTGTACATAAATGCGGGAGCTGGTAAGGACCCTGGCTTAGTACACATTGGGACACTAATGATTTTCTGGCGACACCTCTGCAACAAGGGTCCACATCATTACCATCTATTATTTAGTGAATTCCAATGGTTGTCCCAGTCAGGAAAAGGTGGAGCCAAATGCAGGTTATTTACTTGGAGTGGAAATTATTGAAGCACAAACAACTACGAGGCAAAAGAAAGGGCAAAAAACTGTAATAGAGCTTGGCGAAAACTCAGTTCGGGGCCAGGCAGAGATTGTCTGGTTTGCAAACAGTGCAAACCAGCAAGCTAGTCTGTGGACAATGAGAGAGATGGATAATCCAAGAAACAGTCCAGGTTCAGAGCCAAGAGAGCAGGCCGACAGGCAGAGTCTAGAAGGGTAGGCTAGAGTCAGTATCTTAGTGAACAAGGCATTCTTTCAGATGCCAGGGGTGAGGCAACAATCTGGCACAAGACAGCAAAGGGAAGAGGAGTAAATGGGGAGAAATCCCAGAATCCTCAGATATCCCAGCACTATAAAAGTAACAGAAAGATTACACTTACCTGCATATTTTATGAGGATGCAATGCATGCATGTTCTTTAGTTTTTCAGTCTATCTACTGTATTAATCTCTTATTTGAGGCCATATGTTTCCTATCAGGGGGCGAGGACCGGATACAGTTGGACATTGAATTGCAGAAGGAGATAAGTGTCATCTGGCCACACCTGTCCCAAAAGACACTGGATCTGCTGGTACCCATCAATAAAGGTGAGACTCAGATGCAATGGAACATAGTAATAGGGCCCTCGGCGGTTCAAGAGGAGAGGATGTAAGGCTATAGCCATAACACAATTCCTACAGCATGAATGGAGTCAGATATGCATCAAATGTTCCTAAAGATATCAGAGCAACAGACCCACTCTTCATTCTTCAAAGAGTACTAGAACATGAAAAGGCATTGCTTAAGAATGTAAAGTCTGGTAGAAGGGGCCATAGAGTTGGCCACTTCCTGAGAAGGGAGACAGATCAAACTTTGGTCACGCAGAGTAAAATTGAGGATCTTATGTATCCTGAGCTCTATACTTGATCATTAGGCTTTACGAGGTACTTTCCAGATTGGGTCTTAACCATCTTGGACAGGGGTGTCCAGTCCTGTTCCTGGAGGGCTGCTGTCCTGCAAAGTTTAGGTCCAACCCCAGTAATACACTCATAAACCAGCTAATCAAGGTCTTACTAGGCATACTGGAAACTTCCAGGCAGGTGTGCTGAGGCAAGTTGGAGCTAAACTCAGCAGGACAATGGCCCTCCAGGACCGGGTTTGGACACCCCTGATCTTGTACTACCTTTAAGTTTTTGTTTTGAATGGTCTTTTTTGCACAAAACGATGTTTTATTATATTATTGGCCTTTTATGCCTTTATTAGACAGGACAGTGTAGATGAGACCGGAAACAACAGGGAGGAGAGAGAGGATAACAGGACAGGCAAAGACCCTTTAACCATTATTTGAACTTGGTTCGCCTGAGGCACAACTGTGCTATATGTCGGAGTGCTGCTCTAAGGTACGATGGATCCATGCTTTCATGTTGTTTACACCAAATTCTGACCCTCTCATCTGAATGTTGCAGCATAAATTGACCAGGCAACTTTTTTAGTCTTCTGTTGTGCAGTTTTGGTGAGCCTGTGTGAATTGTAGCCTCAGTTTCCAGGTCTTAGCTGATAGGAGTAGCACCCAGTGTGGTCTTCTGTGCTGTAGCCCATCTGCTTCGAGGTTTGATATGTTGTGCATTCAGAGATGCAGTTGCAACAAGTTACTGTTGCCTTTCTATCAGCTTGAACCAGTCTGGTCATTCTCCTCTAACTTCAACAATGCATTTTTTGCCCACAGAACTGCTGCTCACTGTTTATTTTCTCTTTTTCGGATTATTCTCCGTAAACCCTAGAGATGTTTGTGTGTGAAAATCCCAGTAGATCAGCAGTTTCTGAAATACTCAGACCAGCCCGTCTGACACCAGCAACCATGTCACAATCAAAGTCACTTAAATCACCTTTCTTCCCCATTCTGGTGCTCGGTTTGAACTTCAGCAGATAGGCCTTGATGATGTTTACATGACTAAATGTTGCTGCCATGCAATTGGCTCATTAGATATTTGCGTTAATGAGCAATTGAAAAGGTTTACCTAATAAAGTGGCCGGTGAGTGTATATGAATTGTGACCCTGGACCACAAAACCAGTCATAAGGGTGAATTTTTGAAATTGAGGTTTATTCAACATCTGAAAGCTGAATAAATAAGCTTTCCATTGATGTATGGTTTGTTAGGATAGGACAATATTTGGCCGAGATACAACTATTTGAAAATCTGGAATCTGAGGGTGCAAAAAAATCTAAATATTGAGAAAATTGCCTTTAAAGTTGTCCAAATGAAGTCCTTAGCAATGCATATTACTAATGATAATAAATTGTTGATATATTTACGGTAGGAAATTTACAAAATATCTTCATGGAACATGATCTTTACTTAATATCCTAATTATTTTTGGCATAAAAGAAAAATCGATAATTTTGACCCATACAATGTATTTTTGGCTATTGCTACAAATATACCCGTGCTACTTATGACTGGTTTTGTGGTTCAGGGTCACAATTTAGTGAGCCCCTGACGGGACATGGTGATGGAAAAAATATGAGACAGGAGAAAACAATTAATTTTAAATGATTTTAAGTTTGCTTGCAAAAGTATTTCATTCCCAAGAAACATTCTCTTTCAAAATATTTGCGTTCTCCAGAGAAACTTTGCATTCGTTCACAAAAGCACTGAAATACAGTTTTTCTTCCCACCTCATAGTATTTCCATCAAAAGTTTTGCAAGCAAATGCAAAGTTTCTTGTGGAAATACAAAAGCATTGCCATCTAATTTTTTTGGCATCACCTTGTTCCTTTAGGGGCTCTGTAGGTATTACATGACACCTTTCCATTTTAACAGTGTTCTAAGCATTAAACTGGCTTAAGTTAAAAGGTTGGTTTGATTGATGTAAATTAATCTGTTGTACTTTCATAATGACTCTGAGTGTGTGTGTATCTTCAGATACGGACATGACCGTTGGAAAGATCTATGCTTCTATGATGATCATGGATTACTTTAAGCAGAGCAAAGCCAAGAAGTTGAGGCAACAGATTGAGGCACAGGTAAGCTGACTTTTTTTTGTCCAGGTTCACATTTAGACAAATTCGTACTCATCATTTAATGCTTTTTTGGGGGACGGTCCATATGATCCATTTTTGTAATTGTTAGGATACATTTATCTCCAGACATATTTTTATGTTATGTGTTTTGCATAGTATAAGGCTTTGTTTTTTTCATAATTTCACAAAAAAAATTTTTCTGTTGTACAGAGAAGTCTCACCCTGCCCCTGATATCTCACAGTGCTGGATCAGCCTTGTAAGTTTCATTGTCTTCAAAGAAGGTTCATGTTTAAAATAACATGTAACTGAACTGTATCAATATACTCCAATGCATGCTTGATTTTGTGAGTATATGGCACAATACAAATGTGTGCTATATCATTGCTGCTTAATAGCATATAAACATGTTACAAACTATACTGTTATGTATACTGCATAGTGATTTACGTTATAGGTGTTTAAGGTTGCACTCACAGTATTGTGTATGTATCAAAGATGTGGTTCTGTGTTCTAGGACAAGTGGAGGGTTTGTGGCTTTAAGCCCAATATCACCACAGGAGCTGTTATTGCAGCCCGTGACCCACCGTACAGACAGCAGTGAAGACGTCTCTCAGGTACCAAAAAATTTAAATAGTTGATGGGTTAAATAAATTCTTCTCACCTGGTTTCTGGGTTAGTCAACACATTAATATGTTATCAGGGGGTTAATAATTAAAGTAGCGAAAACAAATAATTTTCTTGGAATAGATATTCTGAATCATATAGTATTACAAATAGTAAAAAGTAAACTATAGAAGGATGAGTTATAGACTGACTGTATCTAATGTGATGCTGATGCACAGGTTGATGAATCAGGGTTGAATGGCATGTGGGGGGATGATCGCCCACCTGAACATGCATTCAGAACCAGACAAAAGAGCTACAAAGCTGCAGGTTGGTTACTGCATTTTCCTTGTAAAGTGAAAAGACACAGCACAACTCCCGAATACACACATACACCAACCAACGCTTGTCCAATGAGTCACCATGCAAGAGACAAGAGCTGATAAAATGCATGCGCGTACGTCAAACACGTTAGAGGACTAGGAGGAAGTTCTGAAAGTTACAGCATATTACTTCATATACATTGGAAAATATGACCATTTAACCTTTCTATCACACATACAATACACATATAGCACAAGAACTTACCCTTTGCTCTGCTTTGGCTTGAACACTTCTGTAGTCATATGCTTTTATGAGAATCCCCATGAGAACGCATGCAGTACAAGATATGAAATCCCTTGTTAATAGCTAAATCTCTTTGAGTGCTGTAGTTAACCTACTGCATGATGACTATGTGATGTATAACATCTATTTAACAATTTACAGTGTCCCACTCAGACCAGACACAGTACATGGAAAAGGTGCGAGGACGACCAAAAGAACAACGGTTCTTACTTTCCCCAGATAACTCGAACTCAAAATCCCGTTCCCGCTCTCCCAGTGAGGAGCGCATACATGGGGTCACCAGACAGGTAAACAAACAAGCTTCTTTCACATGATCTCTCACAGCTTCACCGTATCTTAGATCAGTGGTTCTCAAACCTGTCTTTGGGACCCCCAACCACCGCACATTTTGTATGTCTTGAATCAGGTGTGTTAAATGAGGGAGACATACAAAATATGCAGTGGTTGGGGGTCCCCAGGACAGGTTTGAGAACCACTGTCTTAGATGTCCACATGAAGGACCTTGTTATACCTTGACGATGATATAAAGACAGCAACCTGGAATCACTCACAAGAATACTAGGAAATCCTGTGATCTTAGATCATCTAGAAACCAACTACCAGCTTAAGATGGATTTTCCATTTTACTATATCTTAAAGGGTTAGTTCACCCAAAAATGAAAATTAGCCCATAAATTACTCACCCTCAAGTCATCCTAGGTGTATATGACTTTCTTCTTTCAGACGAATCCAGTCGGAGTTATATTAAAAATTGTCTTTGATCTTTCAAGCTGTTTAATGGCACTCAGCGGGTGTTGCATGCATCAGTCCAAAAGAAGTTAAATAAAAAGCGCCCATCCATAAAAAAAGTGTCTCACACGGCTCCGGGGGGTGAACAAAGGCCTCCTTTAGCGAATCGATGCGTTTTTGTAAGAAAAATATCCATATTCAAAAGGTAATAATCAGTTTAATGCAGCTTGCGCCAACAGTTGTACACAGAAGCAGTTCCGGGCTGATGAAATACTTGAAATCTGATTTCTCCGCAGGAAAACAGCTCAGAAAGCCCTGTTCCCTCCACCTCAGAGTCCAGCACCCCAAGTGGCAAGCGTCGCCTTTCCCAGACCTCCACCTGCTCACGCC